GTGGCAATAACCACCATAAAAATCCTCATGACTTTTGTTAAAGAGAAGGGGAAACAGTTCAAGTACCGAAAAAGAAGCAAGCGTTATAAAAACCCTCCCCTCCTTTCCGGGAGAAAATATACCACAGATTACTTTAACAGCAGTTAAGATCCATTATTGCAGGGGACTTAGACATGGTAGATCTGGAGTGTAGCCTTGCTGTAACTTTATATGCAAACTTATTTCTTCAAAGTGAAAACTCATACTGAATAGGGAGAAAACTCCACCTTCCATTTCTGAGGCTGGACTCTCACATCTCTTTCAGCTGGTGGCACATGCCTGGCACAGACAGGCACTTTGGGAAATGGGAAACACATAGCAGCATCAGGCTGGAGGAGAATTAGCTGTATTTGCCATAACTTCTAGCCATACAGCCAGAGAAATTGCTTTGGCTAGTAACCACAAGTGCCTTTTAAATCTGAAGACAAGAGACAGAAGCTAGACTGAGCTTTGTGAAGGATCTGTGAGAGCAGAGTAGTCTACTACATTCCAAGAGATGTATATTGGAATGAGACTAAAAGTGGTAGATGTGGTAATATTGTCCAGGCCTTCTCTTCTGCCTACACTGATCACACCTTTTTCTGGCAAAATGGAAAGTAAAATCCTACAAGTGAGACCCAGGAGACTGTGGGAGTGCTGACAACACTGACAGATCATTTTTTCCAGTTTCATCTTCCTCTTGGCATAAGTGTCAAACTACTCTTCTCTTTGAGGGCCTGACAGTGTGAAGGACTCCAGGAAGGATGTATGAGCAGAAAAATCCATCTCACAATAGTGATCAACAGCTTGTCCTAAACTGCTTTGTTGGAAACTAAGCCCATTCATTTCTTGACCCTTACAATTTTTCTTTTTTTTTTTTTTTTTTTACTGCACAAGTAAAAAGAAAAAGAATTAAAAAAAAAAAAAAGTGGAGGGGAGAGAGGAATTTATGGCTGTGGCACAGATTTTAATTTTTACCTTTCCCTGATCTTACTGAAAAATTTTGCACAGTAAAATAAGTTGGGCTTTTATTACTCTGAGTAATTTAAGAGAAGGGGCCCTCTATTCCCTTCCTTCATGAACCAGAACCACTTAAAATGTGAAGTTATGTCCTAAATTACATTTACAGAAGGAAAAATTGAAGGCAGCTAGGAAACACTTACGAATGTTATTTAAGGTTTGCAGGCTCTCTAGACCCTCCCCCAGACTTTTAGGTAGGTGTTACCATAGATCCCCTTACAACTTTCTGCCCTGAGGGGTCTTAACTTACTTTTTTGTGGCTCTGGATGGCTGCTATGTACAGCAAAGGACCAGTTCTGACCAGCTTTAGGCTGAGAACGGTGGAAAAAGGGAAAATGAATACTTTTCCTTTTTTTTTTTTTTTTTTTTTTTTTCTTTTTACGATCACCCAAATGAAATTTGGCTATATTCTCTCAATGGGAAGTTATTTTACCCCTTTCAGAATTTTTCAGCCCAGTATGACACACCTAAAACCTCCAGAAAGTAGCAGCACATTTAGGGTTTTTTGGAATAAATTCTCATTTCCCCTGCCTATTCTCAGTTCAGCAAAGCCATGTGTGCTAGCAGGGAAAAAAACACCCTTTTGTTTTGCAGACTCACTAACAATATTTATAAAGAGTACAAGGTCATTGTGACACCAGGCAAGCACAGGGATCTAACTAGATTACAGCCCAGTCTCACAGAAAGCAAAGAAAAAATGTATAAAATCACCAAAAGAAAAGTCTGAGAAAAGCATGGTGCTTTAAAAGAGGCAAATTCAATTTCAAGTTATGATTAAAGAATTAACATGCTGAACAAAGTGGCTAAAAGGGGAACAGAGTGATAATGTTGCAATGTGGGAATGTTTTAGCTACTTTGCTTCTTATCCTTCAAACTGCATTATTTTTCCAGTTTTTTGCTCTTAAAATGTCTTTTGATTAATCCATTAGTATCAGTAGTGATCACAACAACCCTACAAATGTTTAAACAAAGCAGGGCATTTGTTTGAGGCTTCAAAAAAAAAAAAAAGGGGAGAAATATTATAAAACAGTACTATTAAAGCCTTTTTCTTAAAACAACTGTATTAACAGTCTTTGAATAATTAACCAAAACCATACTCAGCATTGTCAGATAACAGTGAGCATTTGTGCTGGGTCTGGAACAAAACAGTACCAAACCAGCCAGGCTTGGTTTGCTGCCGAGCCACATCCGTGCCACATGTTTTGTGGGGGACATAAGCGGCTCCCTCAGAGGTGCTGCTGCTGTGAAACCACAGGGAGTGAGGTCCTGAGGTTCCCTCTGTCCCCCTCGGGCCCCCAGGGAGGTGACTCCCTCCGTGCTGCCCCACTCCCTGGTCCAGCCGGGGGGATGGCTCTGCTCCCAGGAGTGACACCACCCTCCTCCCCAGCTGCTGCCTAGAGGGACTTTGTAGTGCAAGTGCCTACACTGGTTTATTATGGCCTCTGGGCACCTGGTAGGAAAGATCCCAGACACCTTCAGAAGCAGCAGAAATCAATGAGATCAAGTGTGAAGTGCTCAGCCAGTGAAACTCCCAGCAGCTACACAGACCCCCACTGCCACCCACACCAGCACCCACACCGTGTGTTCTGCCAGGTCTTCAGGTTCAACAATCCTAAAAGAGATGTTGATACCTCCCAGGTCTGCTACCTTGGTTTCATATCCTAACTGCACCTAAGGCCATGAAAATTGGAACACCAATATACAGTAGGAGACCAGGCATGAGTAAGAAGGAGAACATCACATCTTCCATGACTGGAGGCACTGGAGCTGCCCAGGGGGATCCCAAGCTCTGTACAGCTCATGTAACTGGTGCTTAATTAGCTAGGGCTTCAGGGCAGGTGGGAGGGACAGTGATCTCAGCTCTTGTGGCATTGCAGCCCTGAAATGTAGAATGATTCAGAAGGGAGACATGAGCCAAAGCAAATGTAGAGGCTGTAGCAGCATAATTGACATATTCAGGATGCTCTTGGGTTTCTATTGAGTCAGATATGCTCACAAGGCCTTATTTTGCTTTAAGTTTTCCAAGTACATTTAACATAAAAATGTGCTGTTCTTGTGCAGAGATATGTCAATCCTTGCAGTTTGTAAAATAAAAAAGTGTTTCGTGCAAGAAGAAAACATAAAACTCAGTGCCAAGTCAAAGAGACTTTAGCCAGGTCCCTAGCTCAGTCTGCACCTCATGGGAAAGTGTCTCTGCAGACAGGGAAGGCAGGACTAGTGACCTGTCATGGGGCACAGAGCAGCAGCACAAGTCCTGGTAGAAGTAGTGTTCTATGGCCTTTTAAACTGATCTAAATTCTACTTCTTATTTCTGTTGCTTTCCCACACCTGTCTGTATCTTCTCCCTGCTGATACTTGAACACTTACAGCAAGCAAGTGCCCCTCTGTCCTCCTGGCAAGTACTGGGATGCTTGGGATGAGCACAGACTTGGGATGAAAGTAATGCAGCAACCAGCATCGGTGAAGTAATGAGGTTCAGAGGAGTGAAAGGATTGTCCATTTGAAATCATTTTACACTTCTGCAGATCAGCACCTTCAGCTCTGAGCTTCTGACAGGAGGCATGCATGTGTCCTGGTGCCAAAGCAGGGCTGGTTCTAGCAATAAGTATGTTAATTAACTCCGGGACTTCTATCTCTCTATTGAGAAATGGACATTAGTGAGAGACTCACAATGTCTTTTGAAATTAAATCAATAAAATTTACCTAAATACAGATAGAGCAAAACCTGCTGATGAAAGGGGACCGAAACAAGGCAAATCTGCAGGCCCACAGATGAATTCTGTGTCTCACTCACTTACCTTTCGTTATTTAATGAACAGCTCTGCAGGTGCCTGTCCCCCTTGGGTAGGCCATATGTCAGGAAACATCAGCTAACCCTGTCTCAAAGGAAATTCTTCATCTCCTTTATTCCAACCAACTTGCAGCAGCCTGGCAAAGGCCACAGCCAAGGCTACACAAATAAAAGGATGTGCTTTTGAAAGGCCATGGGCAAGCAAATCTGCTAGCTGTGGACCTTACATGCATTAGATCTTCTCCTAGCTCCACAGTGAAAATGCCTCTGCTGGCTGTCCCCCTGGAGACCAGCCAGATGAGATTTCTGAGCCTGCTCTGCAAAGCGAGATCTGGTGTCGGATGTGACTTGCCCAGTGTTTCTGAGTTTGCTCTGGCACAGGCTTGTTGAAGATGGGCCAAACACATTTTCAGCTGGCTCCCTCGAAGGAAATTCCTTCTCAGTTAAAAAAAAAAAAAGAATAAAAAGAAAAAGTATGTTCAAGTCCCCAGCTCTAATTCTTACTCATCCCACTCTCCCATCTCTGACATCTGCACCAAGAGCATGGGAAGTGCTGCCAGGTCAGCAGGGGGTGTCTGTGGGTCCTGGGGAGGTGTCAGTGTGACACAAGCCACAAAGTAAAGGTCCCAGAACCCTCCCCACAACCCCAGGGAAGGGTGGCACGGTTCGGAGCGGCTCAGCACCAGATTTAGCTGCTGTGCATTCCCCGTGGTGGAGACCGGCCGGGGGACAGGCTCTCCCGAGGCAGGAACAGCTGTTCCGTACGGGACATCCTCGCTCTCGGGATTTTGAGCCGCGACAAGCTCAGCGGAGCCCACAGAAGCAAGCAGCTGGAGTTGTCCTGGGGCTCTGCGTCAGACCCTGCTCAGGTGTGACTGAGGAACCTGCAGAATGGCAAGAATTCAGAGGGGACATATTTCAGCCCTGATGCCATCCCAAGTGCTGCTTTCCCTCCCCCCTGCTCCGTCCCCACCCCACCGATCAGCCTCTTTAACATGACAAAGAGCCTGGAGGAGCGGGCCGCGGTGAATATTGCGGTGCCAGGCAGGGAATGGCCGGCTATAAAGGCCTGCCTGCGCTTCGGGGCTGCGTCAGCTCGGTGCTGGGGCCTGTCCCCAGGTGGAGGTGACATCTGCTGTGAGGGGGGGATCCGCCCCTCCGGCTGCCCCCCATGTGCGCGCACCTGGCGCTGCCCCCGTACCCCGCGTACCCCGGCGGGGCTGCCAGGGGCTACCTGGAGCTCTGCTGGAACGCGGCGGGGGACGCAGGACAAGCCCCCACAGCGGCCGGGCCCGCGGGAGGCGCCGCGGCCAGGCACTCTCCGGAGGCATCGGGGAGGAGGCACACAGCAGGTAAGGCCTTGCAGCTAAATCCTGGAGCTGACCCCCAGGATAACTCTGCTCCCAGGTCAGGCTCAAATGACTTTTAGCGGATCTTTGTCTTTCCCTGCCTTGGTTTCTTAGTGCGTGACCTAGGCAAACTGCGCTGTGGTGGGCAAGGACGAGGGGTGACCTTGGCCAGTCACAGCACTTTTCCATGGTACTTTTCTTGGGTGACTGCCAACCGGTTTCCTAAACCTCAGAAGAGCCTGCAAGAGTCGAGGCACTGTCAGGTCTGTGCTCCAGGCTGAAGGGCAGAGTGACAACTTGGTCTTATGGAAGTTCATGGTTCTTGGTGTGGGAATGTGTGGGCCGCCTTTTAGTTAAATGCTGTCATGTGTGCCATAGAGACAAACAGATCCTGGAGATACTTCTTGTGGCATCCCTCGTCCCCTTACTAACTCCTTGCATCCTTTATGTGCTTATTTATCATGAGCCAAGGCCTGCTCTGAATCACTGGGTGCTGGGAGATCTGCTTCTTTAAATCCAGCATTGTTACTCACATTGCTTCCTTCATTTTGCCATTTTCCTCTCTTTCCCTCTTCTTTCTGTGCTCTTGTTGATTTGCCTTTCCCTTTTAAACCAAAAAGTCCCAAGCCTCACCACAGTGACATTTTCTGTTCCTGCCATTCCTCTCCCAGTCCAGTGAGGGGCAATAGAAGAGCTGAGAAGGGCAGGTTTTCGCTCAGCCCCACATTTTGGTCAGCAGGGCAACACTCTAGCAAAGTAAATGGATGGGAGGAGAGCCAGGTTTTGGGGTGCTACTTTCAGTTGCTATGGAAAGCTACAGGCTCAGGCAGAGTGCCTATGGCTACTCGGCATGTGGCTACCTGCCGTGTAGCTTCTCTCCATGCTGCCTGCCCATCAGAAGCAGCGGGCAGATGGACTCCTGTGTGTCCCTGTTGGGTTTGGTACATTGACTGTAACCCCATCTTCAAACACCCTCATACCTCTCAGAGAGAGCCCCGTTATGGGACTCAAGGCCTACGGATGTCAAGGCCATGTGGGAGTGGGTCTGTCACAGGCTTTCACGTTCATGTCTGTTGCACTGTTGTGTTTCTTGCTTCCTCTCTCCTTTCCTCTCTTCTCATGGGAGAGGGAGCACTTTTGTCCTGAGCTCAAGCTGCACACGATACATTTCATGGGGCTTTGGGATGACAGGTCAAGCAGCAGCCGGGGGGAGCTTTAGTTCTACAGTGTCCTGCTGTGGTTCCTGTCTAACAGGATCCAGGCCCACGCTCCCAGCATACTCATTTCTTCCCTGTAAAGTTTTTACTGCACAGCTTGCAGGAGCCAAGCATCCTGTGATACCACATGAAGTTTTGGCTTGTCATGCAGCCAGGTCACTGATGTTCAGCTTCCTCAAGGCACTGCAGCCTAGCCCCCCGCACTTAACACCGCAGGCCCTTGCACATCTTCTGCTGACAGCCTCTTCCAGCTGGCAGACAGAATCCCTTTGCAATCCTCATGGCCCCATTCCCCAGCGCTGGAAACCTGCCCCACTACACCCCTGGCTGTTCACCCAGCCCTTGCTCTGGGTGGTGTCATCTCCTGGGGATAGCAAATGTCCCAGAGCAGGCAAGCCTTGAGTGGCTGGTACCACAGAGACAGCCATGCCTCTGTAAGGGGAGTTACAAGGGCAACACTTAGACAGATGTGGCCACCTTTCTGAGGTCCAGCAGGACTCCAAGGCTTTTCAGTGATTGTTTAGCAGACTCTCAGCTTAGGACAGAAGAAGGAAGGGTTTTGTAGGGTGGGAAGCCCATTCCTCCGGGGGACATCAGTACTTTGCTCTGGACATATGTTCTGGAGATTGAGGAGGGTGTCTCAGTGTCACAGCTCTCAGGGTGACTGGTAAGGAGGTTGGGAGACATTGGTTGGGCTCAGTAGTCAGAAGGTGTGTACTGAAATGGCACTGCCCCATTCACTGCACTTCCAGTAGGAGGAGAGGGGATGGACCATGCAGGACAGCTTGCAGAGGAGTAGCTGGAGCAGGGAGGGATGGGAAGATTCATCACTGAGCCTCCCTCAGACCCCAGTAATCCGGCATGTGACACATTTTCTTATTCCTGCAGCCTGAATGACTTTGCATCCTGGCAGGTTTTGTCTTCACTAGGAGCCCAGATTGTTCAGGAAACTTTTCCCTTAGGTATTTATCTCAACTTTGCCATCAACAGAGATCCCTTAAGACATGTACCAGGACAAATGAGAAGGGGCTTGAATGCCTTCCTTTGCACTCTTGAATTTTGTCCCCTATGTCCCTGGTACAGGATTGCTGCCTCCTTTCATCTGTTTCACACATCCACCTTTCCTCTCCCTCTCCTTTTCCATGTGAAATTTCTCTCCTTCATTCTTCTCTCACTAAAAGCCTCTCTCAGACAAATAGGTCCTTCCACCTACGGTGTCTCCAGCAGTGGCATGGTCTGTGGTGGGAGACAAAGGCAAAGAGGACTGAGCCAATATCCAGTGCCTGATGTTCTCCACCTGCTGCCCTCACTGTGAGCACTGGCTGCTCTGCCCCACCGTAGACCCTGGCCGGAGGTTGTATTGTCTCTATTGAGTGCCTTGGTATTGCTGGGCAGGCAGTTCTGGGGAGCCCAGCCAGCAACCAGAGCTATGCTTGCAGTCATGACAAGGCCTTTTTACACCACAGTCAGACTGAAATATTACTGAGGCCATCTGGAGGAGGAGAGTTCACTGTGAACCAATGTGCACCATGCTTTTGCACCGCTCCCTGTCCTGACTTTTCTGCCTGGCAAAAGGAAGTCATGAAGATCCCGGGGGGACTGAGCTGGGAAGCTCCTTGCTCTCAGTGTGCTTGTCTGTGCTCACAGGTCTGTGAAGAAAGGAGGGTCACACAAGCCTTTGCTTCAAAAAAGCTCCTCTCTGGTAGGTAAGGAGCTCTACAGCAGGCAGGGAGCACGCTTATACCCTTACAGCTAAACATTTTGTCTCTTACACCTTTTCTCATTTTCTTTTTATTTATAGAAGTATCCCCAGCTTCATCCAGTTCTGGGAATTTCAGCCAATTCACACCAGATTCAGCCACCAGTCCACATTCCTCATCCTCATCCCCACAGTCTACAGCTAAGTCTCAGAAGGGCAGAGAATATGGTGTGGGGGGGATCAGGAAGACCAAGAGCCGGACAGCTTTCTCCAAGGAGCAGCTGCTAACCCTGCACCAGCGCTTCCAGAGCCAGAAGTACCTCAGCCCCCAGCAGATCCGGGAGCTGGCTGTTACCCTGGGGCTCACCTACAAGCAGGTGAACACAGAGACTTTGACCCACAGTGTATCGATCTCACCGGGGCTGAGTGGTCACTTAAGGGAGTGCCAGGATGGAAAGATGAATCCCCAGCAGGGACTGAGGCAAAGGTGCCAGCTAACAGTTGCTGCCCCGCTTATGCATGCCCAGAGATCAGAAGCACTTTTGCAGGTAGAAGGGTCAGTGGCACCTCATTTGGGTCTCCCAAGCCGGGGGTCAGTTAAGGGTTCTGTTGCCAACACCCGTAGTAGAATTGCAAACCCAGTGATGAATGTGTTGTTCACCACAAACAGTCTCTACCCTGGGCTTGACAGCACTTCACAGATGTTTTCATGAGCTGTGAACTTCTCAGAAACCCTGGCATGCATCTGTTCTCTGAATCACAGGGCTGCTGTGACATGCTGAAAGCTCTTGCTAGTGTCTCCTGGGTCTTATCTTGTACAGTATCTAATAATGCTCCACACTCAGCACTGCCTGGCTGCTTGACACATGCTCCCTCCTCCCCGTGGGTGCTGCTAGGTTCACACATCACTGCCCTTTAGGGTCTCTGCTGATCTCCAGGTAGGTTGTGTGTAGTGACATGATGCTGCCTCCAATTATGCCTTCCTAAAGCAGGGGGGCTGGGCAATGGGGCACAAGAGCTCGCAGTTATAAGTCCAAAATCTTCCTGCAATTTGAATCTCAGAGCTGGGCATGATGGCTGGGATGCCCTGGGACTAAAAAAGTTATACTTGCATTGTAAGTGCACACATACGGCACACACTGAACTGGTTCTATCAGGAACAAGGCAGGTGGGACAGTCTGCTCTTGCCTTCAATCCACATCCCTGCAAAGGCTGCTTTCACAGTGCAGACACAGCCCCGGGGGGGAAATGGCCCTGGAATTTGCCCTAGCAAGGAGCTTTGAATTTGGGAGCTGCTGGGGACCAGGAGCAGGTTTGTTCGCAAATATGCAGAAACAGCATCTTATAAGTTTGCCTGTAGTGCAGGGGGCTTGTAGAGGTGTCTGTGGATCTTGATTTACACCAATCATTCACCTCCATGTTTGGAATGAGTCGATTTGTCCCAACTATCACTGTCTCTTGACACGGACCACCCCCTCCCCCATCACGCGGTTGCACTAGCCACCTGCTGAGGCTGCTAGACAGACCTCTCCCCGTGGCAACACCCCCCAGGAGTTCTTACAGGCTTTTATCTGCTGCTGCCCGGGTATCTCTGCCATCTGGTCACTCCCTCTGGTTCTTCCTGCTTGTGAATTTGGTTACATTTGTTCTTCCCTCTCCTTCGCTGACATTTTCTCTGCTTTCCCTTCCCCTCCCAGGTGAAGACTTGGTTCCAGAATCGGAGGATGAAGCTGAAAAGGTGCCAGAAGCAGAGCCTGTGGAGCGAACGGGCTCAGTGTCTCACGCAAGTAAGAACACAGCCCATGGCTCATCATGGCTCTTCTGTCTGGGCAGATCAGTCCCATATTTCCTCCATGGGCGCAGCTTGAGCACACGAGTATGAGCGTACCTGGCTTTCTGGTTTGCTCAGCACAGAGGCACAGACTTGGCACCACACCATGTGTACTGGTGGTAGCCCAGCAGTGGGCTGGCTTACCACAGAAATGTTTCCAGGGAAAAGCTGTTTTCCTCTTATGTATATATATATATGATTGTGTATCCACCCCTGAGCTATGGGAACGGACATAGTTCTTCTTGCCCTCCATGCCATTGCTGCTGGTGAACAGACAATATGAAATGTGAAGGGACAGAGCCCCAGTACATGTCAGGCCTGTGGACACCAGTGGAGAAGCTATGTGTTCTGACTCTCCGCCTTTCCATTTCAGAGTGGCTTCCAGAGCGGTACTTACCTGGACGTGCACCCCAAATTCCACCAGGGCTACCCCATCACCACAGCTGGCAACATCCAAGCCATGCCTGCCCCCTGTCAGCACTACGGAGCAGGGCAGAACGCTTACACAATCGTGACCAGCGAGGATGGAGGAGTCTTTGGCAAAGGCGGGGGGACCTGCAGTGTCCAGCAGACAGTGGGCTTCATTGCTCAGCACAAAGTAGACTTTTACCACAGCTATCCTGGCAGTGTGGAATATCCAGGCTCAAAGACAGGTGATGGTTGTAATTTTCACCACTCAGCCACTATGGGAGCTCCTTTCCCAACTGCTGCCGGCCATCATCTCTATCATTCCTAAGCACTGTGGGGTACTTGGGCAGCCAGGAATCAAGTCTTATTCTCGTCTCTCCCCTTGTTATTTGTGTGCTGGCCACCTCAGGGACACCTTGTAGCTAAAACCTGTTCTGGCATCCAGATGTGTGCCTGCAGACACGCAGCTGCGCAGAGACCCGTTTGCCCAGGTACATGCACACAGAGCCCCTCATTTCTGTGCCCGTACATGTGCATACACACAGTCCTGTCTTGACTGGCACAGACAACCAAGCTACCTTATAGCAAAGCCCAAGATCTGGCTACCCAGCTTATGCCCTGGATCTTCTTAATTATGGACCATGTAACTTGTCTAAGGGGAAGCACAAATTCCTCTGGGAATCTCATTTCTGTGTATCACTGTACAGTTGTGTGTACATAACACATGAAGCCAGGGGCTGTATGGAGAGGTGCTGGTCACTTACCTTTAACTTAAGTTGGAGAAGTTATTGCCACATGCCAGTTATCCATTTGAAGTGTAAACCATCAGTTGTGTATATCACTCATGAGGTGAAGTGATGAAGTGTCTAATGAAGGGAGTTGTGACAAGTAGCTTGCAGAAAGGCTGGCAAGATGATCTTGTAAGCCCTTCCTTCTAGTCTGTATCTTTCTGTGCCTCCCCCTGAGAAAACCTAACAGTGCATTCAATTTGGCAAATAAAAAAAAGAGTACTTTTTAAGATGCATTATGTATTTTTATAAAGCTCTCTTTTCTCCACTGCAATAGAGCATTGCAACATAAAAAAACAGATGGAACATAAATAGCCATAGCAACTGTATGCCATTGTTACTTGATGCTGAAACTATAAACAGAAATTTTTCTGTGTTATTAGTGGATCAGCTTCATGGCTCTTGGCAATGCCAGATATCTCGAGTCAAAGAAACAGGTGAGTAACTGCCACCCACCTTAAGAATTTTCCATATCCAGCAGTATTTAATACAGGGACTGTCATGGAGGTACTATCATTTCTAAACTTGACTATGTAAGTGTCTAAGTACCTAAAACCAGATGTGTGTAGCAAAGAATGTGTAATAACAGGCTTCCAGTTCCCTGAGTCATACATTTTCTATCACTTTGATGATGTTGACAATTAATTTCTCTTAATGCCATGAAGTAGCTGCCATGGTTAAAAAAAAAAAGGAGCATAAAATGAAGGCAGTGATTTCTGTGACTGGAATAATAAGAGGCACAGTCTTCCATTGGCAAAGCTGATTTATGTCCCTGTGCCTCACATGTTTGTTCCCTCTCTCACTCCGTCATGCAGGCACTCTGACTCTACTGTAAACTGTATGCTGTGCTGACTTTGGCTGTGTTTGTTAGTTTTCCTCACAGTATCTGGGATGGGGCTGTGTTTTGGATTTGTGCTGAGAATGGAGTTGATAATACAGAGATGTTTTCATTACTGCTGAGCAGGGCTTGCACAGTGTCAAGGCCTTTTCTGCTTCTCATTATCTCCCTGACAGCCAGAAGGCTGGGGGTACACAAGGAGTTAGGAGGAAACATAGCTGGGAAGACTGACCCCAACTGACCAAATGGATATTCCATACCATATGGCATTGGGATCAGTGTAGAAAACTGGGGGGAGAGGAAGAGGGGGACATCCAGAGTGATGGCCTTTGTCTTTCTAAGGAATCATACACAGGATGGGGCTCTGTTGTCCTGGAGGTGGCCTGCCTAGGGGGAGGGGTGAATTAATTCCTTGTTTTGCTTTGTTTTTGTGCGGCTTTTGCTGCACCTATTAAATTGTTTTTATCTCAATCCATGAGTTTTCTCACATTTAGTCTTCTGATTCTCTCCCCCGACCCGGTGGTGGGGAGTGATCAGGTTTAGTGGCTGCATGGTGCTTATTTGCTGCCTGGCATTGAACCACAACACGTGGCCGGCCTGATTTGAGGAAAGATAATGCCTTTTGGATGGTGAGTCATTTGGTCTTGGCACAGCCCCCCGCCCTCTCCTCTTGCAACCAAGTGGCTAAGGATGGGCAAGACTGTTCTCGAAACCATCAGAGGGGTGGGGAACAATTAAGTGGACTGAAAAGGTGCTGGCTAACATCGGAGGGTGGACAATAGCGGCAATTATCAGGGATCTCACACCAGAATGGAGATATTTTTCAGTTCGTCTCAAGCCAACAGTTCTGTTTACTTACCTGAATATAACCTAAAACCTTTCCATGCCAACCCATCAAAGGCGGTTGTAGGTGAAAAAAGTTGAGCTTGCTGCACGTCCTCACCATTAATTCTCTGGAAAAGGAGTCACATGTCATGTCCTGCTCCTTCAGAGATGCTTTAGGACAGGCAGGATTTTGCTATGGAGGCAAATAGCAAGGAGCTAACAAACAGTACCAGATCTTGCGGTTTCCTCAGAGACACAATTGTTCAGAGGTAACATCCAAAGATAGACCTTATTGCCACAGGTGGTTATGGAGTCCAAAAGCCTGCAGCAATTCCAAACAGGCAAGTAAGCAGCTCCCAGGAAGGGAGATCATTGATGTCTGCTGTATCAGGAGCTGCAGTCCCAATGTTCTGTCTAAAAACAGCAGGAATGCAGCTACTGTTAGAGGGAGTCCCTCAGCCCCAGACAGCCAGAAGGGCACTGGAGTTTCTTTTCTGGTCTTTCTCTAGTATCTAAGCAATTACTTAGCTGGGGCTCCCCCAAAGCAAAAGTCCCAGTGTTGTAATTTGTAAAAGATTTAATGGTCTGGACACTCTCCAGCTGCTAGACAGCAGATGGACTTTTGTCAAGTATGAGAAATTAATTCGAGCCTGGTTATGAAAGAGATTCTCAGATATGACCCGAGGGTACTCTTCAAAACTTTGGACAACATGAAGAGTACATGACCTTCACAGGTAGGAAAAGACTTGGGATTGTGGTGTCTTGGGTTTCTTGATTTGGTTTTTTGTTGTTGGGGTTTTTTTAAGTAAGTTTATTTTTTTTCCCCTTTTGTTTTAATGTCCAAGTGCAATGATTTAGTCATTCATGCCTCATGACTACTCAGTATCAGCCAATATGCTGCTGCCCTCTGACGACAGGCCAGGCAAGAGACGTGTGGCAACGCTTGACTGAAAATTTCCAAAACCCTGTTAGCTCAGCCTTAGAGTCATGTGGTGTAGTTAGATAGCTAAATATGCTTACATATGCCTGTAGGGAAGATCTTATTAAAGCAAAGATAATTACTTTTATCTGCACTGGTGAGACAACTGGGGCTGTGAGCCCTTGCTCCTGGATCACTCAGAAGAAACACGTAGCTTGTAAAACCCCTGCAGGCCACATTGACATGGAGAGCAAGGAATGAGGTTGTTTCCACTGTTCTTGGTATTTTCCCTATGGGACAGCTGGAACCCAGTGAACTACAAAATAAAATCCTGTACCAGACCAAATTTCTTCTGTTTAGGTGGGATTCTCTACATCACTGGAACTACACCTGCAGCTTTTTTGTCACTGCAGATATTGTAAATGAGGAGTGTATTCCCACAAGATGTAACACATAAGAACTCCAAATCATCTTACAGCTTGATCCTAAAAAGATTTGCTAGCAAGGCAAATCACGTTTGCAGTGTGCAGAGGTCACTGTTACACAGCATAGTCACAAGAAGCAGCAGTCCTAACAGAGGTGTAATGCATCCTAGCGGTAAGAGCTACTGCTGGCATGAACTTTTTTCCTCTAAGGAACTAATACCAACACTTCTGCAAGTATGAGGCTGGAGGCACCTGCATCTCCATCAGTTTTGGTAGTAGTGTCCCATAACCTGTGCAGTTGTTTCACATGGTGATGTGAAGGTAACAGAGCACCAGCTCTGTGGAAAGACAGAGGCCTGTTTTTTAATTCCACAGGCTCTAGAAACACTTCCTAGGTAATTAGGAGTCCTTTCCAGCCCACCTTCCAAAACTCGAAGAACAGCTGCTCCTCATGCTCCCTCCAGCTACATGTGCTTACCAAACCTGCATACAGCCCAGGCTGAGCAACTGGGGGAATAACACAGCCATGAGGGAACACTCGATTTCCACAGAACACTCCCACAGTACATGGAGCAACAAACCACAACATGCAGAACAATCGTTCTCAGCCCCAGGGCTGTTTTAGCAACAATATCTGTTTTTGCAGAAGAACATCTGCCAGCAGAGTTCTGGCTATCTCCTTACCCTTGTGCAGACACATGGAAACAAAACATATGAAGCAGCACAGGTAAACTGCAGCAGGCAACCTCTGCAATTGTTCTACAAAGGCCTGTATATTATTTCTTTAAAGACTGCATCTTAAAAGAACCCCAAAATCATAAGCTGCTCATTTTAAAGCTGAAGGACAAAGCATAGTATGCATGACTTGTAGAGGTGAGTTATATGGTTCAGCTTTATTTTTTCAAGGCAATTTTTGAAATTAATACTATTGCTAGAGAATTACCCCAAATTCATTCGATGCTAGTGGGATATGAGTCTCCCATCCAGATGGGAAAGGAGCTCTTGTTCTGTAATACAGAAAACCACATCAACCTGGCATTTCCCCCTCTTCTGGGCCAATTTACCTTTTTTCTCCTGTTTTAAGATTGGCAGCCCATACATATAAGTGATTTATTCTTTTGTCCTTCTCTACACAGGCTCAAGCCTCTGCTCCTCTCTCCTTCCTGTACCTACTGTACCTTGCCTCGGGAGCAGAGGATTGCAGTGCAGCAACAGGAAAAGAGAGGATATATGCTTTTGCACCCACACAAGCAGGTTCTGTTCAGCAAAGGACCTGTAGCAGTTTGAGCCTGAGCAGGCTAATTGTGTTCGGTGGGAGTACCCATGGAATTTTCCCTTTTGGACAGATGAAGGGCTTCAGTGGTGTAGTGTGCTTTGAAGAACTCAGGATTAAACCAATCACAATTTCTGCTAGTTTGGAGTATGACTAAATAGCAACTGGGTTCTGGTTTTGTTTCAATGCTGGAGGCAGGAGATTTAGTTACTTAGTCGCAGACTTCTGTTGCCATTTGAGGTCAGCACAAGAACCCCAACAGAGCTGCAATTTTAATTAAGCGGGATTCCAGACCTCCAGTTGTGAGCTTCTGGAGCACCAGCAGGAGGCCACACAACCTCCAGGACACTTTCTTTTGCTCCATCCTCCTTTTTCAATACTTTTTTGGAGCATTGCTGCTCAAGGGCTAATAGAAGCACGTTATGGGGCTGCACATCACTTCAAGCCAGCAGGTTGTCCAGCTGCCTAGCCCTAGAGCCTCCCCCACCCTCCTTGCAGTAAGTAGGCTACACACCTGCATATTAAAAACAGGCTGATTATTAAAATAAAGTAATTTATTTAAAATTCAAACAACTTTGTCGGAACATTAAGAACATTAACTAGAAAAACCAATAAAACACAACATGGACATTACATAAAACATGCTTGGTAACTGCAAAAAAATTGTTCAACAACAACATTCACCTCCTTTGCAGTGGAAGCCCTGCTGCAAGACACACAGGCCAAGGACCAGAGATCACCTGCTAGAGAGGCAGCAAAGAAGGGGAGACTGGAAAAACGAACAGACCGTAACAACCTGTGCTGCTCACAGCTGCAACATTGCACACGGGCCTCAGTGAATGAGGGTCCAAACTCATCAAACCCAAAGCATCTCTGCCAAGGGTTAGCTATGAACAGACAGGCACACTTAAACAAGAACCTAGCCCCTGGCAGCAGGGTGCTGAACCCCCCCTCCCAGTAGTTAAAACAGTAGTGGAGGAGGGGCAAGAAAAACAAATAGAACATGACTTCAAAACCCTGGGAATCCCATGGGTGAACACAAGAGGTGGGAGAAAAAATACTCAAATCTGAGACTCGGTATACCCACTCTGGGTCCCCATAGGCTGCCAAGGTAACTGGCATTGATTCTGTATAGGAGAGCTCGAAAATGATGTGACAGTGTCAGAGGTGTTCTGGAAGTTGAAGGCATCTTCAACATCCACGCTGACATAATCTATATTGTCAAAGTAGCTGTGATAAAAGTTAATTTGCTGGCTTAATAAACCCATGGTTTGCTGGGTATTGCAGCTTGTCCCACCTTTTCCAAAGAGCCCCTCATCCTCCACAGAGGGGAACGAGTACAGGTTCTGCCCATTCCCGTAAGTCTGTCCGCTGCTGTAAGCCTGGTGCACGTTGGGCACAGCCTGAAAGTTCGTGTTGGAACCGGCAGGGAAGACCTGGTGGAACGTGGGTGCTATGTCCAGGTATGCAGCCTGATGAACCCCATTCTAGGAGACAAAGAAAGTCGTTCAGCAGTGCAGAACCACACCAACGGCCCATTCTTTTGGATGGGTCCTCCGTTCTCCCCCAGCCCCCTCCCCCCCCAAGCCCAACAATAGCGCCTTTTTCATGCCCATTGTCCTCCCAATAGACCAGTAATAGCAGAGATGACCGGTTAGTAATCTCCAGCTCAACGTGTCCAGGAACAACCACGCTGGGGGGGAAAACCAGCTTAAAAAGAGGTGCCATTGTAAGGCCTGTTACAAGGAATACGACTGGCTTGGTAATATTGAGTCCTGTGGCTTGTTTAAAATACCCGGATGGACATGATACACTTCTCCCCGCAGACTGGAGGAGCTGTGACTGGCGCTGATGGGGAAGTTTACTCACCTGTGGTAAATACATCCCTTTATCCATCCACTGGCTCTCCTTTTGGCAACGCTTAAATTTCATCCGTTGATTCTGAAACCATGTTTTCACCTAAAAGTGATGCAGAAAAGACATAATTTAGAAATTAATTTTTAAGAGATTACTACAGATCCTTATTTCTGCTACAATCCCGTTTCTGACTTTTAATACTGTAAATAATTTCAGCACCTAACAACGTGCAGCAGATTCAGGTGGCCGTGAAATCACAGAGCTGAGACATGAGAACAAACCTTCCTACTCCTCAGATCACCACCGGACCTTTCCGGACTTCAAAAACCCTACCTAAAACACCGGCCAAGGCAACTGCAGAAATCAGGTTGTACAGCACCATCTCACTGCTGTGCCATGGTCAGGGCTCAGGAGTGAGTCGTTCCTTCAGGCAGACACAAGAAGCTGCTGGGGCAAGTGCCCTCCCTCTAGGGAGGGCCCACGGCGCCACTCCGACTAGGAAAGGACACTTGCATAGCAGTGCAGGTATCTTTCTGCATTCAGAGGCAACACATGTCCATGCAGAACAGTAACCTGACTCCGCACAGCCCTGCTTTGCTGCTCTGCAGGGCCTTCCAAACACCTGCAGGGAGTGGTGGATAGTGCTGGAACCAAACATAAGGCTGAGTCATAGATTTTCACACCCTCTTTTCCCTCACGTAAGAGGTAGCACTTACAAGATAATGAAAGAAACTTCACTCTGGGGTCCAAGAAAAACGAAAACAACAACAAAAAAAAAACAAAAAAAAACCACAAAAAAACAACAACAAAAAAAAAAAACAAACAAACAAACAAAAAAAAAAAACCACAAAAAAAAAAAACCAAAAAAAAAAAAAAAAAAAAAAAACCCCCTAAATCAGCGGCTGCTCAAAGCAAGAGGTTCACCTGCTTGTAGGTGAGCTCAAGGGCAGCAGCCAGCTCCCGGATCTGCTGGGGGCTGAGGTACTTCTGGCTCTGGAAGCGCTGGTGCAGGGCTTTCAGCTGCTCCTGCGAGAAGGCTGTGCGGCTCTTGCCCGTCTTTACCACACCCTTGCCTTGCACCTTGACCTTCTGCAGAGAGGAGTGGGGAGACGGGCTCCCCGCTGCGGTGGGGCTGGTGGCGGAGTCGGGGGTGTGGTACTGCGTGAGTGTCCCAGAGCTGGAGGAAGCTGGAGAGTCAACTGAGAAGAAAAGAGAACTGCGGTGAGCAAAATAAATCAGACAAGACTCAAAAAACCTTGAAAGTCCAGTTAATCGGGATAATTTGAGATTGCGGATGCCCTGGGCACTCGCAGGGGCTCCGCAGCCGTGGGCAGCGGGGCACAGGTCGCCTCACCAGGCAGCGGAACCGATGGGTTCCTTTGGCCCGTCCCCGGCTGCAGCCCGCAGCATCGGCGTCGCCTCCCAACCCCGGGGCACACGGCCACTCCCAGGCCAGGGTCTGGACCAGGGCAGCCCGATCGCTCGGCCACGTACCTGAGGGACTGGGCGTCTTGGCGGCGGGCAGCGGGAGCGCGTCCGGCGCCGGAGCCTCCTCGGTGGGCACGCTGTCCATGCTGCCTGCGGAGAACCAGTAGTAGTCCCCGTACGTGGGCGCGCCGGGGTAGAGCACATACTGCGGCGTGGCTAGGTGGGTGCTCATGGCCGGGCCGGGTCCCCCTGCCCCAAGCATGAGTCGAGGTGACGGTCGAGACTGGCGACAGGCCGCGGACAGGCACTGCTTTGGGGGGGAGATGGGGGGGATGCTTTAAATCCGCCCCAGCCTGGCCTTGGCTGGAGGGTATTGTCATGGCCATTGTCATGTTAAAAGTTGGTTGATTAGGGGGAAGGGACTTCGAGGGTATTCAGGGACCGGGGGAGGGCCGGGACACGGGGCTGCCCTTGCCAACTCGGCTGGTAGATGCCGCGGTGGGGATGAGTACATCACTCCCCGCTGGGGCGTGGGAAGGAGGTGCTCGCTCGGCCCTCGGGGCAGCGGGCCTGAGCGGAGTCCCCCGGTGAGTTGGACGGAGCTCGGCACACACCCCCCACCCCCACATTTCACAGATCCCCACCCAAACAGAGAGAATGGCCCCGGAACCCGCCGCGGGGCACGAGGAGACTTTGTGCGTCTGCATTGCAGATCGCAACCATCATTGCAGAGAGATAAGCCCTCCGTCTCCCCGCCAGTGAATCCGGACTGGGGACAGGGGGCATGGCCCTACATACAGAGCCGTGTCTGTATGGCGGGGAAGGGGCTCAAAGAAAGCCAGGCTGCTTCTCCCAGCGGCTCGCCCAAGGCTGAGCCAGGCAGTCTTGTTCTGCACATTTTCCAAGATTCTTTTCCCCGCCATTTAAGACTTCCTAAAAAGTGGTATCTTAAAACAAAAAATTAAAAAAAAATTTGTTACTCAGCAGGGAGGGATGGGAATCACCGGGTCAAATTCAAAAGGAGATAAGAGTACTGCAGCTGTATAAGAGCTTTACAGATCTTAAGGATTTTAATTTAGGGCCTATGGCCTTCTTGGGGAGAATAAACTGTTTCCCTTGCCACCCTCCTCCCCACGCTACTACTGCTTACTTTAAGGAAATTAAAAACTTGTCTGTAGGATCTCACACCCCGGGAATTACAAAACCTGGAAAACCACCTGGAAAAAGTACAAATGAAGGCATGTGACACACCAAGTAAATTCCCCACCTCCTCCAGTGCAAAGAAACAGGACACAGGCAGGGATGTAGCTACTAACCTGCTGCACTGCTAAACGTCTTTGGGACCTGACAGAGAAAGCCCTCCCTTGATTTCAATTTATCTCCGCCTCCCATCCCGGGTCCTAACGAGCCCCAGCTGGTCCCCTGAGCCAGCAAGGAAGGGTCCTTACCGAGCTTACTTTTGATCACCTCCTAATTAATGATTTCGTTTCTCAGAATCCGCACAAGGTCCAGTCAGGACTATTAGGAATGCGGGAGAAAGTGGTTATAATCTCTTATAATGAAAAAAGGTGGGAGGGAAGAAAATACCGAGCCTGAACCTGGTTCTGGCCCCGGAGCAAGCAGAGGCAGCCGGGCTGTGGGTTTTGGGCAGGTCACTCGCTCGGTGCTCGCAAAGCAGATGCACCAACGGGAAGGGATTTTCCCTCGGAGGCGAAGCCGTCCTGCTGTCCTTGGCAGGGCAGAGAGCCGCCTGTCCCCGTGTCCCCTGCTGCTGGCAGGGCTGCCCGGGGACACGCGTGATCCCCGCGGGGGCTCCCCGAGTTCGCAAGAAGCAGCCCCTTGCGAAGCCGGGAAAAGGCGCGGGGGTTGCACAAGCCCAGCCCTGGTGTGCGGGAACCCCCGAGTCGTCCGAGGACACGCGGCTGAGGGATTAGAGTTCCACAGACGGAGTAACACCGCCTCTGCCAGCAAAGCCTCCCTCGCAGAGCTGCGCCTGTGTGTTTGGAAAGGCAGCAGGACTGCTCACGCTCTGCAATTTTCATACACAGATCAGTTTTTTGTGTATATATCAGCTTCTGTCCCGGGGTCAGACCTGCTTTGCAGTGAGCATGCAGCTGATTTAATTCTCGCCCGCGCCTTTTTTTTTTTTTTTTTTTTTTTTTTTGTTCGTATTTTCGTTTTCTCATCCCATTTGTCCTCCATTCCCTTTGTTTTATGCTTTAACCACCAAATCTCTTTTCCACATATCCCCTTCGAGTGAGGATAATTTGCTCCCTCACCCAACAATACCACCAATCACCTCACCAAACATATCTATTAAAATGTAATTGTGAGAGAAATAAGACTTGTGTAAGTGTATAATGCCATACAATCTAAAGTGAGGATTTATTTAGGAAAAAAAAGTCCAGATCTTTTCCCCCAAATAAATGATACACATGGAAACATATTGCAAAGGTAAATCCAGAAGTCATACACAGGGAATGCTATGGGAAACATGATGTGGACATTTGGGAAGCTCACGGGGTGATGAGGTCTGGAACATCTGCCTGTGGCACCATCAGCCTTCAGACTGGATATACTGCCCATGAATGTCTAGAGCTGATCTGCTTTTAAAAAATGTTGGGAAAATTTAAAAAAAAAATTAAAATTTTAAAATCTGTAGAGATGATGTGCTTTTAAAAAGTGTTGGGAATGATTCACAGAGCAGATGCAAGTACCCACTTGTGTTCCTTTTGGAACTGTTTTCAGCTGAAACAGCAACACAGGTCAGATCTAGTCTAATCCTGTTTTCCCAACAGGGCCAAATAGCAGGGACAATTTGGGTTTTGACTCTGTATTGTGTCCCTTTCTCCCTTCATTCTGTGGCTACCCCATTCTTTTCCAGTTCTTAGCTCATTATGCGCTCATTATGTACTGTGGAGCATTAGTCAGGTGAGTAATAGGAATAATGGCTTATTCTTGACACCTATAACCTCACCCATGAAATTGTTTGCAAAGACATTAGCGCACATCTTTCCTAGCAAGTGTATGGAGCTGAATGCAGCCACTCATGGGCTGTAGCTTGCTCTAACAAACCCTTTCTGTAGTGCTCCAGCAGCAGAGACAGAAGCTCAGGTCCAAAAGCAGTCTTGGCTTCTTTGTCTAAGTGAGATGGGACTGTGGCTGGAAGGTGTTTCATCCAGGAAGTACCCCCGACAAGGATCTCCCATTATTCTCAGTAGGGTCCCTACCTTCAGGGGGCTGGAGCTCAAGCTTGCTCTGCAGTGATGCAAAACCACCAGTTTACATAGATGGAGGCTGGGGAAGCACCAGCTGGCTAATGCTGTAAATCCAGCTCTGGAGCTCACACCACTGGGTCAGAAATGCTGGGCTTTTCCTACCTCAGAGCATCGCTAAACTCATTTTGATCAGCAGGATAATGATGTAGTGGTAGAGATTTTCTCGAATTTTACACAGATTAGGTGCTCTCCTGCCTCCTGCAGCTGGCTGTAATGTGGGTCGCCTGTGTTTTGGTTTACCAAAACCTGCGCAGTGCCACCGCGTGTCGCTGTGCCATTCTGCTCCTGTTGGTGCTGCCCAGTGGGGCAGCAGGGTGCCAGCTCGGTACTGCTGAACAGGGTGCCACGGCCAGAGATTTTCCTGGGAACCACCATCCTCTGACAGCCATGTGGGTGCTTGGGAAAGGCAACTAGAAATCCTTGCCTTGTGTTTTGTTGAGCTTGTCAGAGCTTTCGTCCCCAGCAGGCACCTTTAATTTTATTATTTTATTGTTGTTGTAAGCGAACACCCCCCAGGTGAGGCGTATGAAAACACTCCTGCCCTGCAGACCTCAGTACTTGCCCAGCCCTTGGCTCTGGACAGCCTGTCCCAGATAGCATGGTCATAGTCGGCAGTCTGGACCCAAGAGGACAGACTGTAGAAGGAAGGGAATTGAGAAAGAATAACAAAAATTAGGCCCTCATTCATATTAAAATACAGTTTTCCTTTCTCTTGACTCTTTAAGGGAGCAGGTAGAGAAAAGGACAAATCTTCTCCCTCCCCCTGGCAGCCCAGTCTCTCAATGCCCTGAGAATTACTGGGTGATATGGCCCTTTGTTAGCACTGTGGGGGCAGACTGGCACGGGCATCCACGGCACAAAGCCAAGTGCTTCCCTGAAAAGGCCAGAAAGCTGCGTGTCAGACAGCAGGTGGGAAGCAGGCTAGGGAGAGCATGAATTTCTAGGGTTTGATAGGTCTGTTCTTTCTTTAGCAGTCTTTCATCCATGCCTGCCATGCACTTGATGCCAGAGTGCTGAAGCTGTAAGCACTCATCTCAAGAAGCATCCCCTACCAGTGCCCATCAGCTGGAATATGGAGCAGTCTTGCAAGCAGCTTGGAGCCAGGGTTATTTAAAGTCCTGGGGAACGTGGAGAGATGTGCATATCGGGCAAAAACCTTCCAAGCATCCTCTCTGCAGGAATCCTCCCCTCTCCCCGCTGTCTCTGGTGTGGGTGTTTCCACAGGCTCAGTTAGTTGTCCTCTCACTAAAAGCAAACAGCACAGACAGAGCTGTCTTCAAATGCTTTCTGCAGTTTCCACCCTAAAAGGGGAATGACAAATCCCGTGTTTTGCACTGTACCACGGCCCTGTGCTTGGTGGGAGCCACCTGCCCCACTCTCCTCGAAAGGCTGCTCTACATCAAGCACTTGGTCTTTTGTTCTCCCAACACACACCACTCCTGAACTTTGAAATTACATAGAAGGGTTTTTTGCCCCTCCCCTGAGACTTCTTTGTCTTCCTTATTCTCATAGGGATAGTTTCCTACAAAATGCAGTTCTGCAGAGCCTTCAGTTCAAGCGGGACACCGAAGTGCTGGCTGAATCTCGTGCTCTCTCAGGTTTGCCATGTATTATGGCACCTGCTTTCTCCCCCATCTCTCGTCTGAGGATGATCCCACGTATGTGCCCATGGTAAATTAATATCAGGACAGAGCTAATGAGGATTATGTGCCAAGTGGGTGCCTGTAATCACACTCGTGCAGGCCATAAGTGGGCACACAGTCTGAAAGTGCTAACACATCCCACAGCCAAATTCTTCCAAGTTAGCACATGATTTTCAGGCAGTGCCATGCTTTTCACTGTGCCAAATCTGTGCTGAGTTTTAAATCCCAGGAAGTCCCCAAAGGAGCAGATCACCTGTGATGCAAGTGTCTAATTACAGCGAATGCTAGGATTAGGAAAAATGGTGCTCAGTTTTCAAATCTGTCAGGGCTTGAGACAGGGA